TAAAGGAGTGGTATATGTGTCTGTGGGACTATATAATTTTTGATAAAATAGCGGATGTTAAGAGGTCAGATGAGTATCCTATGTCTGAGTCAAAGTTCTTGAATAAGTGGTACCCGGTCTTGGAAAAAACTTTTAAAGAATGTAGATTCCCCATATTCCTTTAGCAATCACCAATATTTCAAATTTATTTTGTTAATGTAATGACTAAGATTTGTATAAGGTTGCATTGAAGTCTGCCTTGGAGCACAGGTATTTCAACTCTGTTGTTGATGTCTTGTTTTTTTTTAACAGATAATTTTTATTCATTTTTATAAACAGCAAAGATTTACAAGGTAAGCATGAGCATAGTCAGCTCTCGATGGCTTCATACATTTCGTACAATTTGTCGGTATTATACAGTTTGAAAATTACCATAGATGCAGAGTGTTTATTACATCAGGTACTGTTTCTTTGGTAGATAGATGTACTAGTATGGGGTACCATATACATACAATGTCACTGACCACCTCTAGATAGATTTTGTTTCAGAGTATCTGAGATTTTCTCCATAGCTTTTTGTACCAGAGGTTTACATTTAGCCTACTCATGGATTTCCATGTGGCTGCTAATGTGGTTTTGGCTGCAAATAGTAATAGAGAGATTCTGTTACTGTTTGATATTTTGGCACTGGATTATATTATTTTTAAGTATTTTTCCCAATAAAATAAAAAAAAAAAAACAGACGCAGCTACCCATCTTGATATGCTGTGTTCTAGAACATCTCTTATACCACCTACCAGCGGGCTACCGACTGTGTTTTTAATAGTTATATGGCTGTCTAAGAAGTACATATGGATACTGTAATCACGAGTCTTCTGCACAAAGAAATCTTATAATTGTGAAGAGTCAAAGTGCCACCATCTGACATCTTCAATCATGTATGTTCCAAGACATGTCCACAAAAATTACTAATCCATGAAAAAGTCTGACGGTCCTAGATGGCCTGAAAGGAAACGCTCTCAAGTCAGGTCCTTTTGCGGTTACTCGGAGGCAATCACTACTCAACACAGGCAACTGCAGCACACCTAATTACAAGCCCGGTCTACAGCAAGACTGTGTCCACTGCAGGCATTAGACGAGAAAGGCACCTAAAAATCTCAGTGGCTTTTTTTTTAGGTTGTGAGTCTTCCATAAACGGCAAATCTTTTAATCATATATAACCTTTTCTAAGTTTTATTCGAGGTATAAGTTTTCGTGTGCATGCACATGATGCTTCAGATGCACATGAAAGTGCACACCTTGAATAAGACTGTGTCGGTCTTAAAGGTGCCACTGGACACAAATGTTGTTCTGCTTCTTCAGAACAACACAGCTACCACACCTGAATCTAATGACTCTTTCTAGTATTCAGAAATTCACTCCTTCACAAAATCAACCAGTGACATTTATTATTCTGCCCATTTTTACAGATGATGAACCGGCTGAAATATTCTTGCCCGGAAGGGGCTATGGTATGTTTCCATCAGCCGCCAGCTCTTCCAGTCCAAACTTAATCGCCAGGCTCGCTCGGCAGTGTGTTAGTAAACAGACAGGCACGGCTCACTTCACCAGCCCTAAACGCAACACAGTTCCCACAACGCAGGTCCCACCCTTCCCTGTGCCTGGCATGAATCCTATTAGTCAGACCTCCCCATTTATGTTAGATGCTTCCGTACAGCATCCAATGAGTCAGCTGCTGGAGTGTTTTCT